ATTTATTATATGTAATTATAAAATCCTGAAATATTCTTATATTTTTATTGTAAGATACTTCATTAATGTACTCACAAAAATTATTAATAACTTTATTCACAATAATCCATAATATAATAATTTTTGTAATATACATCATACGTAGCAAAAATATATGATATTGTATAAATTTTATACAAAATTTCTTTAATAATTCAATATTAATCTTGATTTTTATATAAGAATTAAATTATAATATACTTATAATATACTTTCTTAATAAATTCAAATATTAATAACATTTACATTAATAATTACTTATATTATGTTGAAATCGTTCCTTCTGATAATAATTTGTCATCTTCATTGATAGTACAAGACGCCACCTTTTCATTTGATTTTGCAACCTAATTGTAAATAAATTGATTAATATAATTGTGTAAAAAGTAAATAAAATTTTATATTAGTAAACATTAAATGACTCATATTATAATGTAATATTATTATTATTTTGATATAAGATAATGCTACAATATACAGAACCTATTATAATCTTTCATTTTTTTACGAGATATTTTATATTTTATCATATCCTGATGTAAAATATAAAATATCGTATATCTTTGTAACGATGCGGTTTTTTGGGACAATCTAGCGCCGTTATCTACATTAATAAAATCAGAAATCAACGATCTAAATAATTGAGTTACGGTATACCGTCAAGCATCGTATCGAACATTCCTAGATAATAAGAATGTTTCCCTTTGCGGGGAAACCCCCCCAGGATTGACCCCCGATCTCAACTATATCTAAATCGAAACTGTGATTGATTTCGATATAAAAAGGGAGGTCTCTGACAAATCGAAAGATTCAATCGCAGACCGACACCCGCTTTGAACTAATGTCGTCCAGAATTCCCAAAAATTCTCCAAAATTTTTCCGATCAAATCAGTATGCTGTGACAAGTTATAATAATACAAATTACGCTAATAAAAAAGTGAGGATTACAAAAAATTTCTACAGTGGTTTTGCAGATAAATTAATATCATAATCATTAATTCCTTGTAAACTTACAATTTTGTCTAAAATATTTTTTCGGATAGTTTGGGAAATAATTGCGTATAAGATTATAATGGGTCACTCTTGTATAACATATACATCTAATTTGATAATAATTAAATATTTTTTAAAATTTTTCATAATAAAATTAAAATATTTAATTAAAATAAAAAAAAATAATTATGAAAAATTAAACCTTGATTTCATGAAATTCTTGAAGCGGAACTTCTCTGGTTGCAGTCTTTAAGTATTTTCTCATAAATGGCGCTACGAGCATTGGATCTAACTTCTCAATATCTTCAGAAGTAATTAAAGTTACGATGAGACCGACGCTCATAGTTATTAAGGCACCAGTCATAGTGTAAAACAAGTAACTGAGACGGAATAATGTCCATGGTTCTCTATTAAAAAATAAATACTACATGAAATATATCTCACGTAATAACAATTTAAAATATTTCCGTATTTTCAAGTAATAAAAGAAAATATTATTCACAAGTTGCATAGTTTAAAAAAATATTGTTTTAAATATTTAAATATTACATATATAAATAAATAAAAGCAGACAAGTGCAACCTCTTATAAACAAAATCATGGACAGATAAAGTATATCTTCAAACGTTTTTAAGTAAAAAAATTGCAATTTTTAATATTTCAAAATCGTCTGCACTGGACGATGTAAATCTGCTAATGTCGACGATATCTGAACTTTGACAATATTTCAAAAAGTAATCAAAAGGAATTTCATTGTAGTGTTTTAAAAAGATCTTGATATCGATTATAAAAATAAAATATAGAGATTTCCATTTAAAATTTGAAATTATTTTAAAGTTAAGCTTTTCTGCTACTTGCGCTTAAGTTAAATGGATATCGTTGTTTGACGTATTTATTGAATCTCTATAACTTTTATATGAAATTTTTTTTCTTAAATGTCTTGTTTTCGAGATTTTTTATCAATCCGAGACTTTGTTACCATGTACATTGAATGAAACATTTTTATTCATTATTATAAAATGTATTAACTTTTTTATTATTTTATACCGCGAACATCAGTGATTTTATTTAGTATTTCAATTATGGTTAATATATATGAAAAAGTTGTTTAATATGTTATATTTAATTTTATTTTTTTCTTCATAACATTCTCAAAGTTTTCAATTAATGTTTATTAATCATTTCTCGAAATTATATGAAACATATATGAATAATTCACATAATATCTATAACAGATAGTTATAAATATATTTAATGATGGTTAAAAATGCGAAATTACGAATGTCTAGTAGATCAGTAAACATTTAATAGAAAATTGCATTATCTTTTAATGAATCTCCATGATAATGGACATCTATTATGATGGACATTTATTAGAAGTTATCGGTGAGTTGTGGATTATTTTTAAAAGCAATACAAAATTAGTTGATATTAATAACAAAATCGAATCGAAAATTATAATTAAATTCGACTATATAAGATATTGATTACAGTAAAGCATTTATACTTATTAGTAGCTATTCTAAGCACAACTGAAGATGATATTATTTAACTTACTCTTCATTAATGTTGTCTAAGATTGAATCTGGCGGTACAGATAATAATAAATTCTCTACCTGTGGAAATGAATAGGTGCATCCTTCCGTAGTGACAGGTTTTGTATCAAATCTATATAAATATAACGGAACATTTATAATTAATAAGGAATTTTAAAAAGAAATAATAAACAAATAATGTAACAGTAACTGTATAATACATATAGAATGATTTATTTAATGATAATCTGAAATTACTTATAAACTATTCTACAGGAAAAAAGTTAAATAACATGAAGAATTATATATCAAAAACATCTTAATTTTTTTTAACATTCAGATTTCAAAAAACATCTTTATTTTTTGTATAAAAAAACTACATTTTTCTATGATAACTATAAAGAGATTAAATAAAAAATTACCTATTGAATTTAAAATTAATACTTACTAGGTTAATTACAGTAAAAGTTCGGTTTTAATGTTGCTCAAAGTAACAATTATTACAAATGATACCTGACATTTGATATAAAACTTTAGAACTGTAAATCTTGATAAATAAATAACAATTGTAGACTAAATATTGCATATCGCATTTTTTCACTTAGTTTCGGAGAAATTCGAAAATAAGAATGAGAAAAACAGAATATCTTTTGATAATTTTATAATACTAACTTAATTCTTCCACTGGTGATAGCTGCTTCAGCGGATAGACCGAGCCAGCCCATAAAACTCAAGCCTGCAATTCCTCCTGCTAAAGCACCCTGTTGAATTTATTTAAATTATATATTTATTCTTATTAATAAATGTAAACATAATTTAAACATTATTTAGTTAATATAAAATAAAAATAAATATTTGCAAAAAACTTTCTTATCTATGACTTTGACCTTAATATAAAAGATAAAATTCTATGTCACCTATATTTAAAATATAGGATTCTATCTGACACTTTAAAATATTGCAATTTTACATATCATAATTTTGTATTTGTAAATTCCCTATTATTTATCAAAAAGTTAATATTCACGTGGAAAAAGAGCAAAACTTTTTCCTTTTTTTCCTTGTTTTGTAATAATTTAAATCCAAATATAAAATTAATAATATATACATAAGTAGAATTGTCTAAATTTTTCAATATTCAATGGTATTACAATGATTTTAGCTTTAGCTTATATAACTACGTTTCAATATCGACGTAATCGGTGCGTAGTTTACTGGGCTGAAAAAGATATATTACAAAAAAATATTACATATTATTAATAGCGTTGTTTCCTATTTGATCTTTATCTTTTACATATTGTATAATATTTCAGAATTCATCTAAATACTTCAATATTTAAAAATAATATATTTAAAAAATCAAAAGCAATTTCTTCACATAATTAGTATAAGTGATTTAAGATTCCATTCCATACAACAAACTTGAAAACTTTGAAAGTTTTTGGAATGAAATAATATTTTGTAAATATAAATCAAAATATGTTTATCTCTAATACATGCCTTGCTATTAATCCATGGTAATAATATTCCCATGTTGAAAATACCAAAAGATGGACCAGTAGTAATGGAGCCTAAGGTTATGGACAACTATAAACATTCAATCAAATATTAAAAAAGAAAAGAATTTGTATTGATTAAAAATTATCTTCATATTTACCTGCAACATATGAGTACCCGCTTGTTCAACGACGAAAACAAGAGCAACACAGATTGCTCCTAAAACAACAACCGTGAGTTTCATAAAGATATCAGCACCTCTGCGCGTAAATGGAGTCTTCTGAAATGGTTTAACAAAATCTTCCAATACTACGGCTGCCATAGAATTTAAACCGGTTGACAATGAACTAGAAAAAAATAACCATAAACCAATTTTATTATATTACGTATGTATCTGCGTGTTCATTTGCATGCATATACGTGCGTTACAATAGCTATAATTTATAATCCTTTTAGTATGTGATTTATATAAATTTTTATTTTATTCTATATTATTTTAATCATAGATGTATCGATATCTGAAATGTATTTCCGTAGATTGAAATCAGAGGGATTGAAAGTCTATTTCCTCATAGAACATGAAATCCATTAAAGACATTCATATAAACTCCACAGTCTTTCTATTTATATTTCCAAAGTTTCATATCTAACTTTTATTTAAGATAAATATAAATATAAATATAAATATGGTTCAAAAACAAAAAGATTTAATGGTATTAGTAACTTTTTTCTATATAAAAATATTTCTTAATTGAATATTTGTCAGTTGAATATTTATCAAAAGAAATCGCTTATTCTTTTTCTTTATTTGCACTGTTTGCCTTTATATCTTTTTTCTAGAAATTAATTCTATCATCAACTCTATTTTACAAAAAAGCAATTTTTTTATTTATATATATCAATTGTTATATAAAAATTATGATTAATACTCTAGTTATTAAAATTTAAAATAGGAAAACGTGTAGAGATCATCTAAGACTTAACTTTAAAATTATTAAATATTATATATTATATTATATATTCTTAAATATTATATAAACTTAACTTAATTACCTGAGTGCGGCGCTAAATACACCAGCTACAAAGAGACCAGGCAGTCCTGGAAATCTTCCTAAAACGTTCATAACTAACAGCGGTAGCAGTTGATCCTTGGCGCGTGCCAACTATACAGTATTATACAATTATTGTTTTTGAAAAGCGATATACAATATTATATTTATGCGAAATTAACAGTTTCAGAAAATAGTATACTAGTATGTGGTGCTTGTTATTTTTAGCGCAAAATATAAATTCTTCAAAATTATTTACAAATTATCTATGAATGAAAGAAGAATAAGAATAGAACAAATATTTTGAATTTACATGATCAATCGAATAGGAGAGAATTTAAATTTTAGTTTAGTTAAATTTTCAAAAAATCCATTTATTTACTCAGATGGCACAGAAATATGATTGATTTTTCATATGAGTCATAAATACTACTAAAGACTTAGACTACTACTAAAAGTTACCTTAGTTGTAAGTGGATCACATTCATGATACCAGGCGTAAATTAGCATGCCACAATATCCACATAAGCAAGTCAGCATTGTAACTCCGATCATGAAACTCCAGAGTGCTCTAACAGGGAAAATAACAGGAATCGCACAATCAAAATTGTAAAATTATAAACGCCACTCTTTTGGATACCATTCTTTATAAATATTATAAATAAAATTATTTCAACGAATAAATTAAATATTTCAAATTTTTTCGTATTTTACATCATGGACAAAATTAAACTGTTTTATATAAAACAGTTTTATATTATGAACAAAATTAAACTGTTTTATATAAAACAGTTTAATTTTGTCCATAGTATAAAATACAAATATTAATATTTATATTAATATACTACCCATACTTTTTGTATATTTTTTCAAAAAGCAAATTTATTAATAAATTTTTTAAATAAAAATGTTTATTTTATTAAAATAAAATACCTTCTAGCTGATTGCAGAGTAGGAAGTGATAAATATCGTTGAATCATATTTTGATTAATGGCAGTGATTTGCAACCAATGTATGTAACCACCTATGAGGAGTGACCAAATTGTATGTCTTATGAAAGGGTTCCAATCCATCCTGTTGAACAAAAAATATATACCATAAATAATAATTAATATAAAAATTAATAATAATAGTTAAAGGTTCTGTATGAAAATAAATCAAGAATATAAACGAAAGACTATTCACCATTATCATCTAACCGAAGTTCGATGTTCATCGCACATTTTTTTTTGCATGACTTCTCTAATAGTAAAACCTTGTTAGTAAAGATTTCATAAATATATAAGAATTTTCATACAAACCCGAACAGTGCAAAAATTGCACTAACCTTCAAGGATCTAAATTGTAGATGAAAGATCTGGGTTAAACGATGAATGAAATGAAGAAAAAAAGAACAAATGCTAATATTTTGTGTTAATTTCTGCACAAAAATGGAACAAACAAATCTATTTTGTTCTGTTTTTTTCTTCTGTACAAGGCCTGTTAATATATATTATGTTAATGTATATTATTTATGCCTGTTAATGTATATTATATTATGTATATTATTTATGCCCGATTCTACCAACGTAGATTTACTTCTCATCTCGGTTTAACTTGGTTCTTCATCTTTTTTTGATTCTTAGAACTAGAAAAAAATGAAGAGTAAATTGAATCGAGATTAAAGTTAATCTACGTTGGTGGAATCGGGCATTAGATTTCCACGATATGAGAAAATGTTTCTTTTATTATTTTTGTTCAAATATTTATTTTCCTTTGTCTTTTAAGTTCAAAACTAATAGGAGAATGACATTTTTAATTCAATGAGAGTTAGACGATGAACTAATCAAAAATTTTATTTCATCGGTTCAAACTCACAGGTTTTTAAATGATGAAGAGAGATTGCAAGTGAAAAGTGCAAATAAATAATAAGAATACAACAGGATACAAGAACATTGAGTGTTAAAATATAATTAATGCGAATAAAATTATATTGTGTCTCACTATATTATCAATTGATTGATTATGGATTAAAATACACGTACGCAGGAAATTCGAGTCTTCCGGAATCCAAATTTCTTTGAATCACTAGAGATAGTCCACCAACGTCTATTGTACCTTTAATTGCAATTAATAACATCGAGCCAAACATAATGAAAGTTTGAATGAAATCTGTCCATACTACTGCTTTGAGACCGCCCTGAATAAAATAATAAAATCTATCAGCAAAATTTTATTAAACAAAAATTTATCCTAATATGTTTTTTAAATATCAAATTAATATATTTTTTATTTATTATATTATATAATACTTATTATTTACTTAGATTATATACGTAATTTAATATTTAATTAAAATGAAATATCTTTTATAATAAAAGAAGAAACGTATTATGAATACAGCTATTGGTTTCAATTTGAATATTTACATTACTATCTGAATTTGTATTATTTTTTTATATTTTTATTTATTTTTACATTTTTTAAGTCATATATCTTACCACACAGGTGTAAAATATGCAAACGATGCATACAAAAGGTGTGACTATGTGTACATTTACTCCCGTAACTGAAAATAGATAAATCATTATCCAAACTGATTTTGTATATGTCATATTATGCTTTTTATCACTCACACACACACACACACACACACACACACACACACACACACACACACACCGCACGCGCGCGCACACACCACATTTTCAAATAAAATAAAATTATATTATGCGCCGGCATGAGCAATTAATTAAAATCGAATATTATGTATATTAAAAAGTGGTTTAATCCTCATATGAAATTTTCGTTAAACTATTGTATAGAAAAATATATACCTTGATTGAAAGCCAGTGCAGGTACATAGATAACAATTGGAAGCCAAGTTATCTAAAAAAATATTGTATATCAATATCATTTGAAGTATATTTACAAGAAAATTTACATGATTTATAATTTTTAATTTTACTTACAATACCCATGGCAAAAAGGATTGAACCCAGTAATCTCAACTTCTTATCAAAACGTTTCTCGAGGTATTCATAAGTGCTGGTGAGTTTGAGCTCATGAAATACTGGCAGATATACGAAGGATGTGGTAAAGGCAACGAAGATGATCGCACAACAAATGAATAGATAGCTTATACCATGTACATAAATCTCCGTCGGTGTACCCAACAATGAAATACCTGATGTTGCAAATTATTTAACTAAATATAAATAAAAGACTCATAATCAACAATGAACTTAAGACATATCAAAATGTATAATAAAATATACGCTCGCTAATAAAATTATCAAATATTTTAATATAAATTTATATTAAAATTTTGCATAATTTCAAATAAACATAATTCAACAAAAAATTCATATTTGAAAGTATCTCATAAGTTTAATTGTAATTTAGAATTGGCACGATCTCACAAGTTTAACTGTAATCTAGAATTGATTAATTTTAAACTTTTATATCTCAAAAATTACTACTGGGAACGAAAATGGGAAATACTTTTATAATTTATTTTTTCGCTTTCTTGCTATGATATTTTAATTCGCGAATCTTGAGACACATATATACATATATATTATGCATGAAGTACTATAAGTAGAAAAGTTTCTATGAGTGGTTCTAATTAATTAATGATTATGATGAATAAGACAGAAATAATTTAAGAAAATATATTGTATGTATTAATTACATTATTTATTTTGTGCAATAATTATATTAATATGAATTTAAATGAGACTATTACAATTATTATAAAGCGAAAAAAGTTATATATTATTTACAATAGAAAAAATTTTTCTTAATTATGTAAAAACGAAAAATGTGAAAATTACATTTCATCAATTATGAGTTCAGAAACGTTTCTGATACATTTTTTTGTTTTCTTTACTGGTTATAAAACCGTATATTTAGAAAACGTATATGAAACCATGTGCAACATGTGCAACATGTGCTACCTGAGTTATCTCCTTATCTAATCTAATAATTTACTACCATCTAAAACTAAAATAGCAATGTCGTAGTAGTAACAATTAATGATGAGATGGAAATTTTCCATGTATATATGTATTCAATATACAAATCAGAATGTTGAGTCACGTTAAATCAGCTTTTTACTTTATGAGATAAATTATCGATTGCATGATTAGTCGATTTAGGACCTCTTTCACCATCTTTGATTAACATAATTAATTATTCCATTGGAATTGACCAATTGCATTGTTAAATTTATCGTATAAATTAAATTAATCAAAGATGGTGAAAGAAGCTCTTAGCGGCCTCAGATATCGATTGCGTGGACATATCGTAGGAACTACTGGCCCGAGTGCAAAGTACGGATATGTAGAAATTTAAATTATCGGGCTTCATACTTTTATTTTCTAACTAATTTGTATGTTATGTTTCATATTTAGCTTTTATTTAAGAAATATAATTCAAAAACAAAATGGTGACTTTCCTCTATATACATAAAGTGATATTGAAATAAGTAATTACTTCAGGAATCCTTAAAACTTACTTAAAGGAATTACTAAAAATGATTTCCTTTTGCAACAATGTATGCTTTATATCGATATTTTAGAAATTATCGAAGACATTCAAAAAATTCCTGGTATATTCTGAATTGTATCACATCTAGTTTTTGAATATTTTCAAACTATTAATAATATCATCATTATAAATTACACTTTTTAGATGTTTTCACAAATAAAAATCCAAAGGAGTTAAATCCTGGTAAAAACGTGCAAGAATGTTAACAGTGCTCATAATTCTACGTGCTATTTATGAAAAATTTCGATCTCGAAACAAAATGCGTTTATATCTCGAAAAGGAAGAATTTCCGGACATTGTTTATATAACTGTCTTTGATTCGTAGGAAGAAAAAATACACTAACAAAGTGGATCTTCTATTCTTCTATTTCAGTATCATCCTATGTATATAATACTTATTAATATTTATTTATAATATATATATACATATATAAAACAGAATAAACTAAATAAATATTAATAAAAATGTATAGAAATAAAAAAACAGAAATAAAATTTTAATTCTGCGCGCGCGTATGTGTGTGTGTGTGTGTGTGGTGGGGGGGGGGGTGTAAGATGCGCGCACGATATGAGTCCATGTATGCATGTTTTATCTTTATGATTTACATACAAAATATAGAATATAAATGATAGAAAAAATATATAATATACCCGATATAAAACTGGCCAACAGACTAAGGCTGACTGGAAATGCTTTCATGTTCCTTCCGCCAACAAGATATTCATCTTCGCCTGAGGACTTTTTCACGAAACCGAAGTAAATACCAACCATACCGCACATGACCAGCATCACAGCAAACACAGTATAGTCCGATATACCAAAATTTTGCATAAATTTACTGATTTCTTGAACAGTGGGCGTCTCCGATGCCCATTTTGTCACACTTAGGTCGTTTGGAGTATCTTCCGTACGCGAAGTCATCTTGCTATAAAACTGAATCTAAACTTTGATTTAATAAGAAATTTGAAAAAATGTGCTCTCAAAATTTTGAAGAAAAAATATATATATCAAATGCTGACTAATATTTAAATGTTTCTACTAAACAATACAGTACAAAAAATACATAGCATTGAACAGTTACATTATTGCGTATCTTAAAAAATATATAAACAATTTGTGCCAATGGATTATTTTTTATACAATTTACGATTTACTATATTATAAAATATTCTATTATATTCAATTATCTGTACAAACAATTTAAATAATGTAATATATATTATTCAATATTAATTGTGGATGATCTCGAAATTGACATAAAATAAAATAAAAAAGACACACACACACACACACACACACACACGCACGCACGCACGCACGCACGCACGCACGCACGCACGCACGCACGCACGCACGCACGCACGCACGCACGCACGCACGCACGCACGCA